AATTTAAGAAAAGCTGTCAATAAACAAGTCAAGTTAAGACCAGGCATAAATAAGCAAGAAGAAGTCTCTCTGTGCGTGATTTATTTGGGAGCTGTGTTACAGACCCCCAAAGAGCACAGAATAAATAGTCAAAAAGAGAAAACAACCACATCCATCTGTAGTTGGCCAACAGAAAATGAACTCAAAGTGTCACTGGAGGCTTCTTGTCAGAGCTTTACCTTTCTTATTAATTTTGTCTTATGTTTTAATTTTTATTTTATTATATATATTATATTCTCCCCCAACAAGTTCTTTAATATTTTTATGGGATTCCCGAGTATGTGTCTCTGCATCTATATCTGTGTCCTACGTCCTTTGCGGGGGGGCTCTTTTCCTTGTTTCTTTTTTTTCTATTCTGATGTGTTGGTTTTATGTTGGTTCTATCTTTCTATTTTATATTGTCTCTTAGAAGTCTCTTTTCTAATGAGAGGCAGAAATGAAGTTGGTCCTGATGGAGAGGGAGGATATGGGATGAAGGGGGAGGGGAAGCACATTCAGGATATATTATATGAAAAAAATCATTTTTAATCAAAATGAAAAAAGAAGAGACTCAGCTCGTATATTCTTATAAGGTATTGGGTCAGGAAAGGACACCGGGGAGGTTACTATCTTAAATATTCTCAGTCTGCAGAACTGGTCTAGAAGACAGTCAGTATGAGCTATGCTAAGAACAGGATTTATATTTCATTAGTATAGTCAACATAGATGGAATTAAGAGAGCCTGTGCTCTGTGGGATTCTAAACATCCAAATGTTGTCATGAAGGAGAAAGGCAACTGAGGCACAGAGGGTTGTGATAAGAGCAGCCCCCATGTCTCCATGACATATGTGTGACACTATTAGAGAAAGACCAAAGACTGAGGTGTGATTATGCAGATAAAGTAATCACAAACTATGTGACCTTGGAAATTGGAGTGAGACAGGCAACTGGTGAACAGGGGTTTTCTTAGACCTCATGTCTCACTTTTTAATAAAAAAAAAAAGCATCAGAGTTTCTATCCATTACCCCTGCAATTAAAATGTCACCATAGTTTTCAGATGTTAACCCTCAAGTTCATGGATGCTGAATATTTCACCAAGCTTGCAAATGGATGACTAAAATTGACACAATTTCTGAATTTTTTGGATCTCAAACCCATAATACATCCACTATGTACCTTTGTTACACAAAGAGAAAAGAGGTGAGGATTGTATACAATTTATGTAATAAAAATGAGGCGGTCCAAAGATAAATAACACAGAGTGTGTATTTCACTTTCTGTTCTGTAAATTCGGATGTTATGTTGTCCTTGGGTTGATTATGTTTTTGATCTCCTGGTACAGAAAGGACAGGAGCTTGGGGAAACAGGAAGGGCAGAGATAACATTTCTTCTCCTCTAGTGTAGCAGATTTTGCAGAGCTGAGAAGAGTGAAAAGGGATTCCAGTATGATGGACGTCGGTTTGCTTCTGTCTAAATGAAGAGGCTGCAGTAATTCTAGCCCCACCTCAAAAACATTGGTTTCTCCTTGTTTTCTGTTGATGGTTTTACATTTCAGTGAGTTAAGATAATGGTAACTTTGTTTTTCTGAGTGTTTAACGCTTCCCTACAAAAGCATTTTTTATCTTCAATCCACATAATCAAGAAAAGTGGACTAATTAAATGTTCAGAAGTTTGGGAATTAACGTCCCTCTTGTTGGTAGTGTCTGCATTGTATATTCAATTTTTTACTGAATAGAGATATATTGCAATAGACAATGGATATCTAAGGCATTTTTTTTTTAAATATTTATTTATTTATTTATCTATTAAGTATACAATATTCTGTCTGTGTGTATGTCTGCAGGCCAGAAGAGGGCACCAGACCTCTTTACAGATGGTTGTGAGCCACCATGTGGTTGCCGGGAATTGAACTCAGGACCTTTGGAAGAGCAGGCAATGCTCTTAACCACTGAGCCATCTCTCCAGCCCCCTCTAAGGCATTTTTTATCAAACAATAGATTAAATCTTTGAGGGAAGATCTATGCCTTGCTATTTTGTAGGTTTAATTTTGGAAGACTGTTCTCCACGTTACATTGAAACATTCCTGTCTCATTTGTAATGCTCAAGGATAACCAGAGTAAGAAACAAAGGATGCAAAACCATGGGCTGAAGATAAACGGGCTGGAAAAGCCCAGGCTTGACTTCAGTCTCCATAGAGACAGGAGCAGCCTTAAAAGTTGTCATGTTGTCTTTGGGGTATAAAAGTCAATGCTGGCTGATTTCTAATTTTGCTCACCTACAGTGCAAGTAAGACACATGCAAATGAGATGCTGCACCTCAAGCAGCATCTAGACAGCATCTGTCTTAGCCTCTAGGAACCTTCATGATGAATGTGAGGTCTTTTGGTCCCTTAGTGCATAAATGTAAATGATAAACTCTTTCCATGCAACACATGTGCATTAGTGTCTTCTTCACTAGACATGGCAGTTAGGAAAGTGTAGCTCAAGACACACTGGGTTGAAGCATTTAAAGTCCTATGCCTGATGGTCGACATGATGATAAACTGCTTTCCTTCGTGTAGGGGGTGTTTACTCTTTAGGCATCAGTGATCTTAGTTTATAAATTTCTAGCGTAGTGCTTATTCTTGAGGGATTATTTGCTAAATGAATGACTGTTACCTAAGAACCAGCCTTTCCCCACATGTATAGTACAGAAAGAAGCCTAAGTGCATTGAGATGGGTATTGTACAAATGAGCTCCTTTCCAACTCTTCTCACACTGATACCAAAGCCATCACTTTAGTCTTTAACGAAATCACAAAACTTTTCATAGCACTATATCTTTTTTATCTTGTGATAAAAATGTGAGCCTATTCCATCTTGTCTGAAAGTCAGAGATTTTTAGCTTGCTCAGAGTTGTTGACAAAAACTAGCTACACACACTGACATAGCGTGTGTTTACTTGGTGTTTTGGACATTAAGGTGGCCCATAGTGGTCGATCTACTCCACCCTGAACAAAGGTCAGGGAATTCGAGCATACTTCTGCTCCTTCTTTGAAATAGTAGGTTTGACCCAGGGAGTGGCTGCCTTCAGGAAACTTGGTCTAGGATGGGTTCGCTGCCTAAACAACAGAATGCTTTTCTCATAAATTAATGGCTTGATGTCTCAAAGTATTGAAGTAAGTAACTATTCTAGTATCCCTTTGTATCATGTTAAAGTAGTCTTGCCATCCCCCCTTTTTGTATTGGAGCATAAAAATGTACAGAAAATTAAACACGGGCGTACTCCGAACTCAGAACTTGGAATTCAGCATTGAGTAATAGCTTATTTGCCCTCCTGATACTATCCTATGTCTCTGAGTTTCTTTCTTATCTCTGTTTCTCCTACGAAACATTTCTAATCGTCATGCCCCTACTCTGGAATGTGAACCATCTATGGTCAGGAGCCTGGCAGAAGTCACCCCAAAAAGGCAGCACACGACATATGGCAGCCCCACGTGGTGTGGCTCCCAACATTTTTTTTTTTTTGAAATAGGCTCACTTTATGCAGCCCTGGCTAACCAGAAACTCGGAATAGACTTTTCTGCCTTGCCTTCTTAGTGTGGGAATACAAATTAGTGTCACCACCACACCTGGCATAGTGTATCTTAATTACCCTTCAAATGTCAAGAATCAAGTTAATCAGAAAAGAGATGAGTGTTCTCATGCTTGTTGTTAGCAAGTCATTCTTGATGGCATGAAATTATTTCACACAAGATTTCTGTATGAAGAATAGTCACAAAAAATTGTTTGCAGAGAATCTACCGAATTCATATCTTGGATATGTAAGAGATATTTTTAAATAGAGCAGAAACTATTATAAAAGGCCCTAAACTCCAAAAGCTTCAACCTTTGTCTTGGTCCTGTCCTGTCCTATCTATCCAGTTAGAGAGCTCTCCAGAGATTTCTCAGTCCCCCATTCTGGAAGATTTGAAGAATCCTGCAAGAAATTCTCCTTATTTAGATTTTCAGTCCTAAAACAGAGTATCTACTATAATGACACATTTGGATTATAATATACTATTCAGAAAAATGAAATTTCTTTACTATGATTCATGCCCTAGACTTAAAAAAATATATATTGTACAAACTAGGCTTGGTGGTGCATGTCTTTAATCCCATCACTCGAGAGGAAGAGGCAGTCAAATCTCTGTGAATCTGAAGCTAGCTTAAATTACATAGTGAGTTCCAGAACATTCACAGAGACTCTTTCTCAAAAATCAAAAATGTAAAATGTATATATTATATACTTTCTCTGTAACTAAGCCAGGAAGTATTAAAGAGATGAAATTAAGTATTATTTTAGAGTATAAATTCATCACATTTCAGTATTGATTGAAATCATCAAGCAACATTCCACCAAGCAAGTGTGTGTGTGTGTGTGTGTGTGTGTGTGTGTGTGTGTATCTTCTCTATTTGTTTTGTTTGTTTTTTGAGACCAAGTCACTATATACCCCAGATTGATCTCAAAATTCACTATGTAGCCCAGGTTGGCCATAAACTTGTGTTCTTTTCTGTCTTGCCCTCTCTACTGCTGGTATTAAGGCATATGTCTTGTATCATCAGGCCTTGTAACTTATCTTAAGCTTCATGAGGTTTTATATAGTTCTTTCTATTCTGCTTTCTGAAATGTCATATAACCCTATATAAAATTAGACTGCACTCTTAAAGTTTCATCTTAGTTATAATATAGACATATGTTCAGATTTTGATGAGAGTTTTATAGATGTCAGGTTAGACTCTTTTTACTCTTCACTCAGCTCTTTGTTTGACTTGGTGTATTAATAGCTAGATGATAATGTTATGGCTTCCAAATTTCAGATGAGAGTAATGTAATTATAATTTACTTTTCATTTTCTTTTCTATCAAGTGATAACATTTCTGTGCCAAATCCATAAGCAATATAGCATTTGCTACTTCCCTGTTTAATTGAAAGTCATAATGCATTATTCAATTTTTACATACCTTGGAATGTAGTCATCATAGTATCTGTACACTTTATCTGAAACATAGTAAAAATATACAAATTAAAAGAAATGTCTACACATTTAAAAATATTTTACCAAATGTTCTGAGGGAGCTACGCCTTGGTGTAAATTAACAAATTTGGTCAAGCCACAACAGCTCCTACTAATTGAACTGGGGAGGATATGATTTGGTGGTGATCTGAGAGTATCAAGGGGTCCCTGTACCAATGTTTACTACTCAGGATGACAGTATCATGGAGTGCACTGAAACTTTTAAGAGTGTAATCTAAGGGAAAGTCCTTTAATTACTCAGAGTGTTGCTGTGAGAAGGGAGTAAGCATGTTGTCATGTGACTGCTGGGTAATTTTTGGAAGATAGTCATAAATACAAACAAAACTGACTGCTCCCCTCTGTCCTCTGACTGGAGAAGTATTCAGTTAATCTAACATGTAGGCTTGCCATTGCTATCTGATAGGAGTTGACATAGTGAAGGGGCAGACCCTAAGCTATAACTGTTCAGATTTTGAACTTTCCAGAGTTATAAGCTAAATAAAACCCTTTTCTTTAAAAAGTTAACTACCTTTGGAGTTTATTGTAATAATATAACAAACAGATAAAGACATCTTCCTTTATGAGCCAATCAAATGTTGTTTTGGTAATTTGAGATGAAAACAAGACAGCTTGGGCATAATATTGAGCTAGATGCATAACTATTTTGTACATAGAAAACATTGAGAAAAATCTGGGACTTCTATTCCTGTCACCCTTGTTTCTGACCATTGTGAAACACTGACATAGTTTCTGCCTTTAAGTTCCATTAACACTCCTGGGTTTTTTTGGTTACTTCTATTTTTGTTCATATTGGTTCTAATAGGCCTTTTTTTAATTTTTTTTAAATTTATTTATTTATTAAAGATTTCTGTCTCTTCCCAGCCACCGCCTCCCATTTCCCTCCCCCTCCCCCAATTAAGTCCCCCCCCCCTCAGCCCGAAAAGCAATCAGGGTTCCCTGTCCTGTGGGAAGTCCAAGGAACCCCCCACCTCCATCCAGGTCTAGTAAGTTGAGCATCCAAACTGCCTAGGCTCCCACAAAGCCAGTACGTGCAGTAGGATCAGAAACCCATTGCCATTGTTCTTGAGTTCTCAGTAGTCCTCATTGTCTGCTATGTTCAGAGAGTCTGGTTTTATCCCAGGCTTTTCCAGACCCAGGCCAGCTGGTCTTGGTGAGTTTCCAGTAGAACATCCCCATTGTCTCAGTGTGTGGGTGCACCCCTCACGGACCTGAGTTCCTTGCTCGTGCTCTCTCTCCTTCTGCTCCTGATTTGGACCTTGAGAATTCAGTCCTGTGCTCCAATGTGGGTCTCTGTCTCTGTCTCCTTTCATTGCTTGCTGAAGGTTAATATTCAGGAGGATGCCTATATGTTTTTCTTTGGGTTCTCCTTATTTAGCTTCTCTAGGATCACTAATTATAGGCTCAATGTCCTTGGTTTATGGCTAGAAACCAAATATGAGTGAGTACATCCCATGTTCCTCTTTTTGGGTCTGGCTTACCTCACTCAGGATAGTGTTTTCTATTTCCATCCATTTGTATGCAAAATTCAAGAAGTCCTTGTTTCTTACTGCTGAGTAATACTCTAATATGTATATATTCCATACTTTCTTCATCCATTCTTCCATTGAAGGGCATCTAGGTTGTTTCCAGGTTCTGGCTATCACAAACAATGCTGCTATGAACATAGTAGAGCATACACTTTTGTTGTATGATAAGGTAATAGGCCTTTTTTTAAAAAAAACAACAACAACAATTCTACTTATAAAGTGGGAAAAGGTGTGATATATCATGTATTTATTTCTGTATTTAGAAAAAGGAACTGCTTATAATCAGATCAAGACCACTTTCCAGATTTGTTTGGTGTCTTGCTTTGAATGAGAAATGTCCCCCAAAGTCTTGGGCATTTGATGACATGGTCTTCAGCTGGCCATGCTGTCTGAGGTGATTTGGGAGGTGTGGCATCAGTGAAGGAAGTATGTCACTGGGGATGGGTTTTGAAAATTCAAAACCATTCTCTCTCTCTCTCTCTCTCTCTCTCTCTCTCTCTCTCTCTCTGTCTCTGCTTTGCCCTTGACCTTGAGGATGCATACTCTCAACTTCTTGCTTGAGTTGCCATGTCCCATGCCTTCCACCATGACAGACTTGTATTTCTTTGGAACCATAAGCCTAACTCTTTCCTTTAGAAGTTGTCTTGATGATGATGTTTTATTACAACATCATAAGAATAGCTAATGCACTTGGAATTTAAGAACATCCATAAGAAGATAAAACCTAGGATGATGTATCATGAAACATACTTGTGTTTAGGAATCAGCTAATATTGGATTTGGTACCAGGGCACATGCTGTGGGACAGTATGAAAATTGGTCTAAAGCTATGCTTATCAGTCCATCTGTAGAAGAGAATAGCAAAACCTAGCATCATGGAGTGGATATGGAAAATAATTGAAACAATGTCAAGACATTTTATAAAATGACAAAGCTATCTATCAATATCATGTGGTCTAAATTCATATCATATAAGCCACAGCTTGTGGTCATTAAATTGGAAAGTTTCTTCATGAATGAGTGAACTTGAAATAGACTTATTCAGTTATTGAAGTGAAATAAATAACACGAGTAAAGTTTAACTTGGAAGGAAATCATGGAAATTTCACCTTTACAGAGGGAACTGCCACCAGCTGAACATTTTTTTTGCTTATAATAAGAAATTGAGAATAAAATAAAGAATATTTTTTTAATTAAATAAAGAATATAGGGCTAAGTAGTTACATTGACAGACTGCTTGCCTAGCACATATGAAGCCCTCAGATCCCCAGCACCATATGAACTGGTCGTCGTGGTCCATGTCTCTAATCCCAGAATTTTGAAGGTCAAAATAAGAGAAACAGAAATTCAAGGTCATCCTCTACTATATAGAGAGTTTGAGGCCAGCCCGATGTACATGAAACCTGTTCTCAAAATTAAACTAAAACAAACAAGAATGTCATTTATTAATAAGAATAAAAAATTAGATACCAACCTAGATGCCCTTCAACGGAAGAATGGATGAAGAAAGTATGGAATATATACGTATTAGAGTATTACTCAGCAGCAAAAAACAAGGACTTCTTGAATTTTGCATACAAATGGATGGAAATAGAAAACACTATCCTGAGTGAGGTAAGCCAGACCCAAAAAGAGGAACATGGGATGTACTCACTCATATTTGGTTTCTAGCCATAAATAAAGGACATTGAGCCTATAATTCATGTTCCTAGAGAAGCTAAATAAGGTGAATCCAAAGACAAACACATAGGCATCCTCAGGAATATTAACCTTCATCAGGCGATGAAAGGAGACAGAGACAGAGACCCACACGGGAGCACAGGACAGAAATCTCAAGGTCCAAATCAGGAGCAGAAGGAGACGGAGCACGAGCAAGGAACTCAGGACCACGAGGGGTGCACCCACACACTAAGACAATGGGGATGTTCTATTGGGATCTCACCAAGGCCAGCTGGCCTAGGTCTGAAAAAGCATGGGATAAATCCGGACTAGCTGAACATAGCGGACAATGAGGAATACTGAGAATTCAAGAACAATTGCAGTGGGTTTTTGATCCTACTGCACGTACTGGTTTTGTGGGAGCCTAGGCAGTTTGAATGCTCACCTTACGAGACCTGGATAGAGGTGGGCAGTCCTTGGGCTTCCCACAGGTCAGGGAACCCTGATTGCTCTTCGAGCAGATGGGGGGGGGGGGGACTTGATCGGGGGAGGGGGAGGGAAATGGGAAGCGGTTGTGGGGACGAGGCAAAAATCCTTAATAAATAAATAAATTAAAAAAAATTAGATATCCAATAAAATATTTTCTTAAACTGGCAAATATTTTTATAATATAAGGACATCTAGGTAAAAATAATTGCGATATTAATATTGGTGCCTTGAAAATATACTCATGTAATGTTTGAAAGAGTAACTCTAGAGTAGTGAAATACCAAAGAATGTTTCATCCCCTGAATAAAAAAGAAAAAATTGCTTCTTTGTCAAAAATCAGGTGTTCAAAGATGTATGGATTGATATCTGGGTCTTCTATTCAGTTCCATTGGTCCTCCTGTCTGTTCTTATGCCAATACCAGACTCTTTTCAGTACTATAGCTCTGTATTAGAGCTTGAAGCCAGGGATTGTGATGCCTCCAGAAGTTCTTTTATTGTACAGAATGTTTTGGCTATTTTTTTTTTTTTGCTTTTCCATATGAAATTGAGTACCATTATTTCAAGGTCTGTGAAGAATTTTGCTGGGATTTTGATGGGCTTTGCATCAAAACTGTAGATTGCTATTGTCAAGATTGCCATTTTTACTTTGCTAATTCTGCCCACCCAAGAGCATGTGAGATCTTTCCACTTTCTGATGTCTTTTTGAATTTCTTTCTTCAAAGATTTAAAGTTCTTGTCATACAAGTCTTCTACTTGTTTGGTTAGAGTTACTCTGAGATATTTTATGCTATTTGTGGCTATTGTGAAGGGTGTTGTTTCTCTGATTTATTTCCTAGACCTTTTATCATCTGTGTACAGGAGGGATTCTAATTCTTTTTTTGAGTTAATCTTGTATCCTGCTACATTACTGAAAGTGTTAATGAGTCATAGAAGTTCCTTCGGAGAATTTTTGGATCGCTTATGTAAACTATCATGTCATCAGCAAACAGTGAGAGTTTGATTTCTTTTCTGATTTTTATCCCCTTGATCTTCTTTTGGTGATCTGCTCTAGACCTCAAGAACTATATTGAATAGATATGGAGAGAGTGGACAAGAATGAAAATAGACCCATACCATGCACAAAACTCAAGTTCAAATGGATCAAAGACCTCAACATAAAGCCAGCCACACTGAACCTTATAGAAGAGAAAGTGGGAAGTATACTTGAATGCATTGGCAAAGGAGACCACTTCCTAAATATAACCCCAGCAGCACAGACACTGAGAGAAACAATTAATAAATGGGACGTCCTGAAACTAAAAAGCTTCTGTAAAGCAAAGGACACGGTCAACAAGACAAAATGACAGCTTACAGAATGGGCAAAGGTCTACACTAACCCCACATCAGACAGAGGTCTGATCTCCAAAATATAGAAAGAACTCAAGAAATTGGTCATCAAAAGAACAAATAATCCAATAAAAAAAATGGAGTACAGATCTAAACAGAGAACTCTCAACAGAGGAATCTAAAATGGCTGAAAGACACTTAAGGAAATGCTCAACATCCCTAGTCATCAGAGAAATGCAAATCAAAACAACTCTGAGATTACATCTTACACCTGTAAGAATGGCCAAAGATCAAAAACAGTGATAACAACTTATGCTGGAGAAGTCGTGGGGAAAAGAGAACACTTCTGCATTGCTGGTGGGAATGCAAGCTGGTACAACCCCTTTGGATGTCAGTGTAGTGATTTCTCAGAAAATTAAGAAACAACCTTCCTCAAAAGCCAGTAATACCACTCTTGGTTATATATCCAAAGGATGCTCAATCATGCCACAAGAACATGTGCTCAACTATGTTCATAGCAGCATTTTTTTTTTGTCATAGCCAGATCATGGAAACAACAGAAGAATGGATAAGGAAAATGTGGTACATTTACACAATGGAGTACCACACACCAGTAAAAAATAACGACATCTTGAATTTTGCAGGAAAATGGATAGAGCTTGAAAACATTATTTTGAGTTAGGTAACACAGACACAGAAAGACAATTATCACATGTACTCACTCATAGGTGGTTTTTAAACATAAAGCAAAGAAAACCAGCCTACAAACCACAATCCCAGAGAACCTAGACAACAATGAAGACACTAAAAGAGACTTACATAGATCTAATCTACATGGGAAATAGAAAAAGACAAGCTCTCCTAAGTAAATTGAGAGCCTGGGGACCTTGGGGGAGGGTTGAAGTGGAGGGCAGAGGCAGGGAGGGGAGCAGAGATATATGCAGAGCTCAATAAAATTGAAGAAGAATAATTGCAATAAACTTTTGTGAGAAAAAATAAAAGCATTAAAATAGCACAAGGTCCTTAAATAGAATGAAAGAGGGCTAAAACTCTAAAATAACAAATGAAAATAGATGCATATGGAATATTTATATATCAGAACAACTGCAGAAGAAACACAGAGAGAAGACTTTGAAAATCCAAGGACACCACATGCTTCACTAACCTTAGAAAAACAAATGTGTGTTTGGATACTAGCTAGACCATCACTGCTTGGGTAATTTTAGTTTTACAGTCTTTCCTAAGCAGGTTAATAGCCAATGATCTCTTGCTGAGCATGAAGGTGAGCAAGCTCAGACTCCTGCAAAGACCTTTCTGTCCCAGAGGCTCAGAAGTTTATTTGAAAATAAATGGCTTGATTTAAATGTTGCCTAGTCATCTCAGAGCTACGTGGCCAAACTGCAAACTGTGCTCTGCTACAGAGCAGCAAAGTGTGCAAGATCGTCAGTGAGAAGAGCTGGGTGAGGTTCCCCCACCCTCCCCTGTGATGCAGACACAAGGCTTGTGGTTGGTGTGGATCTGAGAGGCTGTGATGCAGAGACATTTGCTTTTATGTTTCCCCTTTAGGGTGTCTACTTTTCTCTGCCCACTCTGGTACAGCAAGAAACAGCAGCACATGGCTGAAACACTAACACTGAATTCTTCAGGTTCATTTCGGTCAAAAACATGCCACAGTCTAGTGAAAAGAAGGTTCACTGGTAAGACTAAAACACACACAAAATCACACACTTGTTTATCCCTCTCAAATCAAAGAGAAAGAGTTGAATAAATAATATTCTTTGGATTTAATGGAAGAAGAGGAAAATATATTATCAGGAAAAGAAACAAACATACTCCTCCTAACGGTTTGGACAGCATTTAATAAAAATAAAGATTTGTTTTGGAAAGCAGAGAGAGGACTCATTTTCAAAGCTTCTAGCTAGCTGCTACAAAAAGCGTCAAGACAAGGCTTGTCTTGTCTATCTGATTGAATGTGTAGATATTATGCTGCCGCTGGGAGGAGGGTTCCTTTTGTAAGCTATTTAAGACAACTCCGAAGTTTCTTCACTGACTGTTGACCGAGGAGGAGTCATATCTTGCAAATTTCTCAGCCACAAAGAGTAGCACAAAGATGCTAACATAAAAGTGGCATGAGGTCAATAGCAGGAGCATTACACTTGCAGACCACGTGGGAGAAAGCTGGCTGGGGTGACAGAAGTCTTCTCTAACCCATCTTGCCAAAGAAATGGAGCAAGCAAGTCCTCAGCATTAGGACTTGTGTTTGCAGAGACAATCCCTACCACCTGTAGTCTCTGGGGGAGGATAAATATTATTTGTTCCTGTGAATTGGACAAGATAGGAGGGTAGATATTCACACTGGAGGAAAGCTGCCAGGAGGGGCTGGGCAGTTAGAAAGGCGAAGGAGAGCATCTGGCCCTTGGAGAGCAACGGCGAGGCTGCTCTAAGATTCATCATCTTTTTTGCACATCAGTCTGTACAGTGTGTTCCACCTAAGAAGTGTATATCAAATAAAATGACCTGACAGCCACTGAAGCGTCAAAACACCCACAGACATGGAGTCGACTGTGGACTTACAGGAACACAGCAGTGGCTGCTACAGCCCTGGATGTTGTTAACTTGTTATATAATATAAATATGGGGACAGGGATTTAGCCAGGATGGGCAGAGGATCTCCAGGGCACAGAAGAGACTGGGGAACTGATGCTGACTGAAATAATGTACTAAAGTTAAATAAAGTCATGGGGCCCACGAAATGTCCTTGGTAATTACTGTGGAAAAAAAAAGAAGGAAGGAAGGAATTACTGTGGAGAAAGAGCAAGAGGCATTGCGTCCATGGGGTCTGTGATGTGGACTATACCAGATACACAACCAATCTGGTAAGTTTCAGCCCTGTGCAAAGTTATGTGCACGTTTTCTTTTTCTCACAAGACCCTTATGGTCTGCATGTTTTCCGTTTGCTGTCAAAAGGGAACTGAGGCTCAGAGAAGTTGCTACTTGCACAAAATCTGACAGCTGAAATCTAACATCAGAGAGCATTTTAATTCACATCAAATTTGATTTTCTTTAAAAGTTCTGCTAAAAATCAAATGGCTGGCATTGATCAAAAGAAAGACATCATACATTCAATTTGTTATTATACATTTTCAATTTTTTCTCCACCACACTACTTTTAAAAAATAGAGCTGAGACAATAATGGCTTGTATAATTTTTTTTTAAAAGATCAAACCTATGATGCAAAGCTAAATGCAAAGAGACTGCTTCTATTTGTATGATGGAGATGATCTGGATATTGATAAATAAAATCTAATGCACAATGCACCACGAGTGAAAATTATAAAACCTATTCACATTGAGATATAAAAAACTAGTATATGTCCTTCTTGGAGACTCAGGCCCGATTTTGATATTGGATTGCTATATGAGGCCAACTATGTCATTCTCAAGTACCTCTCACTCTTTAAAGTCTGCATCACAATGACTTCTCCACGTTTTATGCTGCATTATCAACACTTAGGAAGCTTCTACGTGGACCAAGGACACACTCCACAATTTGATCATCATTTGCATTAGCTTCACGCAGTTTCCTTAGACATATGCGCTCTGTTTCACTCCAGTTTGCTAACTTGGTTTTAGCTCTTTTCATGAGATTGGAGAAAGCACTTTTCTTCTTCTTTGTCTTCTTCTTCTGTTTTTTTTTTTTTTAAATCTTTCCTGACCACTTAGAGCTCTATCCTTAGATTATAAAGGCAATTCCCAGAAACGGTTGAGCTCTGGTTCTATTGTGCACTGATCCATGTATTCAGTGTGCACATGCCAGATGTCCACTGTGTACAAGCTGTGCAGATTATACCATCTTAATTACGGCACGTGTAGGTAATAGTCACCTGGCTAATAAAAGCAAAGCTAACAGCGGTAGTGACAGATCACTGACCTGTTCCAGGCCTGCCGTGTAGTAACAGGCCCAGGCTCAGGCTGTGGCTCTTCTAGTCCTGCGGCCAGAGCCTGGGAGGACTGTGTAACTTCAGCACAGCCTTGGGGAGCAAGTTCTCACTCCTGTCACTGTCTTAAAAGACTGCCATTTCCTGATTTGTTCATTTAGAAAAGCCTGCTCACCGGAATAAGTCCTTCCATCTCTCGCTCCTGAGACAGAGACAAAGCTAAGTTTGGGAGCCTCTTCTCACATCTTGAATGTTATTTTGTTCTTAAAGAGAGCCTCCAGCGTAAAAACACTACAGCAAGGATTTCTCATGGTTACAATACACTGTTAATGACATTTCATAACAGTGTCTACTCCAGAGGTCTGCCAGTGATGCCAGAGTCTGCTTTCAAGCCGGTGCCATACAACAGTTTGCCAAAAGGTCTTACCTCGTTGCCGCTGCTTCTCTACATAGTGGGAGATATTGAATATCACCGATATAACCAGAGCCAAGCCCAAGAAGGCTAGAAGTCCCCAGAGGAAAAAGGGGCATCCAGAGTTTCCTAGAAACAAAAGTAGATATGTCTGTGATACAGCAGCTAACCACACATATGTTTGACTTCAACAAATGCCACGAGCCACACCACTGCCTTTAGCTGAGTGTGGCAGTTCACACTGGTGAGTGTGGCAGTTCATGCCAGTAAGGGCGGCACTTGAGTGGCTAAGGTACTAGAAAGGCTAGGCATCTGGGCGAGCCTGGATTTCAAAGGAAGGGGCTGTCTCAGAATTAATTACCTAATTTCCTTCACTTGTAACGAGTGGCAAATCTGCCAGAAGATTAATAAACATCGACCATCAGATATTTGCAGATTTCAAAGTGTTGATAAGTCTCGAGATTCAGCGTAGTTAAAGCAAGCTTCCATATTTTTAGTGTTAATAAAATGAAAGATAAATTTGGCTATTAAAGGGTGACAAGTGGTGACTGATTATAAGATCTCAGTTCAAAATCAAGATTACTCTGATACCCCTGAATGTTCATTTTGTGGACTCTTCTCAGATTTTATTCTTCATACTAAAATTTTATTTCTGTGCTTTTTTTCTTTTTCTTTTTTTTCCAGGAAATCACTTGGTCCTTTTCATCAGCCCTGGGACTGTAGCACATCAGCTGTTGGAATTAAACAGTAATTCTGCAATCACTGTAGCACAGTTTTATTAGCTGGGGCCGCAAGGACCTTTCCTCACTACTGAGTGTCCTAATAATGGACAGGGAAGAGTTCACTGCTATGAAGGACTCTCTCTTCGTTTTATTTCTGAGCAATAAAATGATAGGTAGGTTATTGCCAGTCTATTACCCAAGATGATTTATCGTTACCTCCACACATTGATGAGCAACTGTGAAAATAACAGAGCAGAGTTGGTATATCTTGGTAATCATGCCAACATGACCGATGCCTTACACTGATCCCAGAAGAGTAACTTCTAATTCTCTGATATAAACAATTAGATGTATCCCTATGCCAGAGTGTACACCTGATACTAAAGAATCAAAAACTCTAAACAAAACCAACCAACCAATGGAGGCCTTGCATTCGAGAAACTCCTTTGTGGTGAACAAATGTCACGTATATAATTAGAACTGCAAGCTGAAAATAGCTTGGAGGTGAAAGTAACTGTAAGAGAGACCACAGCCCTTCAGAGGCCTGACTCTCTCACCATGAGGCCAAGTCAGACCATTTTAGAACCTTTTAGGAAATTAAAATATCACTTCACTAAACACAAAAAGCATAGTGATAAAAACTTAACAGAGGAGGAATTTGTTTTGCTTCCCTCTTCTGCCTTTAAGCATCAAATGAGAAAGCTGGGTGTCAATGAAATCTTCTTGGTGCCTCTCTCCTGTTTTCTGCATCTCAAATAAGATGTTTAGATTCTGACCATTTCTTTGACTTATTGTTGCCTTCAGATGTTTGTGTATTCAAGTGGGCACCGTTGATTTTTAAATAAACATGCAGATAAAAGAATCAAGTATACTACAAATATATTTGTGATATAGAGGTGCACATTCATATATACATATAATTTACATGTCATTTACATGTATATGTGAGAATGTGGCATATGTGAATGAATGTGTGTGGGTGGATACATGAAGACTAGAGGGATTGTGGGTATCTCGCTCCATCATTTTTTGCCTTGCTCCTTTTAGGCACAGTTTCTCACCAACAAGCTCCAGTCATCCTCCTGTCTCAATTCTGGCTTTACAGGACTCACACGAAGCCACACCCAATGGTTTGGTTGTTTTGTTTCTTAAACGTGGATGCTAGGATCGGAACTCAGTTCTTCCTGTTTGCACTCTTACCTACTAAGCCAGCCCCGAACATTATATATTCCACACATATATTGCTCCAATTTTAACTAGTTTGAACTTTATTTGAAGTCAGAAATATTTGTCTACTTATTACTTGCTCTTTAATTTAATTCTGTTTTTCCTGTATCTTCAGGACATCACAAGCAATTGAATAGAGGGCCATTTCTGACACCCTTCTGTGACAACATATTATTTATAAAATAATTTCAAGGATTAATTAATTAATAATGGAAAAAATGGTGATGATAATGAAATGTGTGGGTTTTTTCTTTAAGTGAGTATTTATGTTTCATAAAATGTAAAAACATTAGAAGCCTTAATAATGTTTTTCCTGTGCAATAGTTTTATTAAAAGCACCAAATTTTATTAAGAGCAACTGATGTGTTCCTCATGAACAAAACTCCACCAAGTATTTATGAGCATTCTATAATATAATAGCTACTAACTATATCAAATATGCTTAGAAATTCTGCATGTAACATGATGTTTATATAGACAAAACACTTGCTTTTGCTTATTTGAAACAATTTTGTGTGACTCAGGCCATCCTTGAACTCACTAGTGCTGGGATTACATCAGTATGCTACCATGCTTAGCATTTACTGATTTCTGTTTAGGTAACTGCTTGAAAAATAAAACCACGAGGAGCCTAATGATACTGGTAAAATATTGGCTGCTAAAAATTACACACCTTAATGCTTTTAGGTTAAAAACTGTGAAGACAAAGAACCAGATGGAAGAATATATAATACTGAGCCTGGAGAGATTCTCAGTGGGTAAAGGTGCTTGCTGCCAAACTTCATAATATTGAGAAAGATCCATGGAGCCCACATGGTGGAAGAAGAGAGCCACCTTCTGCAAGATGTCTCCTGACCTCCATACACAAATAAATAAACATAATTTTAAAATGTTTTTAAGACTGTATATATATAATGTAAAGGACTTTTATAACTTAACACCCATGGTTTTAAGACACAATCCGCTATCTTCTCTGAGCAGCCTGGCTTTGTTTACATATGCTCAGTAGGCAGAGTTTTCATGTTCATTCTTGTTTTAGTGGATCCCACCACATCACCCAACACTTCCCACCATCTCACCATCACCACATCACCCAACACTCCTAGCAGAACCATCACCTTACCATCTAGCCCCAGATGCTCTCCTCCCTGCTGAACTCTAGTACGTGGGTGAGGGCTTTTTTTACCATGGATGTGTATGCATATTGCATATATATTTACAGATGTATGTACTGGTGTATTTGCACTTGTGGAGGATATGATGACCAGAGGATGAATTGGCTCTTTCTCTCTTGCTTGTCACCTTATTTTTTTGAGACAAGGTCTCTCTGTGAACCTGGATTTCACTGTTTTAGCTAAACTGACTGGCCAGCAAGTCCCTGGGTTTTTCCCCTTTCTGCCATGCAGTGCTGGGATTGTAGGTAAAGGCCACCACATCCAAGTTTTACTAGGATTTTGGGATAATAACTTAAGTTCTCATTCATGAGCAACAAGTACTTTACCTTCTGAACCCTTTCCTCAGCCCCAAGCTTTTCTTCTGGAATGTTCTCAACTGCCTATGATATCACTTTTTATTCTTTATCATAAACTCTTTCCACAAAATTCTACTTTAGATTTCCTTCTTATCTTTTGGGACTTAACTATTTTAATCTCTCCATATATACCATACTTCACTTACAATGACATACTTGTAGACATCAATAGATACCCTACCATGTTATGTTCTTATGTCTCTGTTAATTGTCCTTTGCCTGAAATGTCTTTCTCCATAGATTAACTCAAACAGACATTCTTCTCTCAGAGACTTTCCTTCATCTCTTTACACATTATCAGACATTCTGTTAATCACCTATGTACCAATTTCACTACCAATTGAAATTTGAACCTTCTAAGGGCCAGACACTGTCTCCTTTATCTTTGTCTCCATAGTTTAATTTCCCCATCTGTAAAAGGAAAGTAATAATAATGCTTGTTGTTATGAGATTGGGTGAGACGTTTTCAAAACAGTGTAACTAACTATTAAAATACGCAATAGATGTTGGCTGTTGATGTTAGTATTCTCTTTGCTATGTTGTCTTCTTACCTCTGGTAAGTATGCTATGATTTCTGCAGTGAATTCAGGAGATTGCCATTTCTCACTAATTACCACCAGCTCACTCGATAACTACAAAAATGAATGAAGGGTAATTAATATCAGGTCTGAGAGCCAAAAGAAAGGTTCTGGCCAAGTATGGCATCTGGACATATCCACAACCCAGGAAGAGACGCCACAGATCCTGTTCTACTTATCTCTAATTCTATTGAAGGGAAGACACAACTTCCCAGCATCTGGGAAACATGTCTCTCTGCAAGAGACAGTAATGCATGAAGCCACTGTAGCTTTGGTAAAAGTGGGCATCAACAATACCCAGAACTAAAGATATTCATCTGCTCTGAATCTATAATTACCAAGAAATGTGGTGGTTATTCGTTCATTTCCCAGAAAACTTGAAATAGGCAGTTAGTGGTGGCTAAGCTCAGAGGTGTGCCCTCTATAAATATAAAATCTGTTTTCTTTTGGGAGTTTGATGGATGTCAGAAAAAGTCTGGAAAAGAGAATTTGAAAACTTTTGCAAGTGGAGCTAGGCTGAGGCCAGCCACCAGGCCAGAAAAGGTTTGCCTGCCTGAGGCCAGGACATTCCCTCCTAAAGAGTTCACTGTGAACATGACCTCCTGGTGAGATACCTAACAATGCTGGGAAGCCTGTCCTGAGAATTTGCTCTCTCTGCTCTTCTCTTTTCAGCATTTGAACCTAAAAACCTAAAGTGTTAATTTTCCTTAAGCTCCTACCCTCCTATGGAATAAACCCAGATGTTTTTCTATGTGTTCATAGCATAATTCTTCCTTCAGACACCTCACCAAGCAGCTAAGATAACTGGTTATTCTTAAAGAAAGAGTACAATCCAAATTACTTTTTGACAAATAGCCATCATTTTAAAAAGCTTATTCCTCACAGCTACATAGAGTCGTAACAAGTATGCGGTCTACTATAATTTACTGTGCATTTTCTAAGTACACATCTTGCAATTAAGTTATTGTAAACTTGCCCCAAATGTTGTGCTGGATATATTGATAATTTACTTTTGGTGAAACTGAACTTTAGAAATAATCCAATCTAGAAGCCATGTACCAGATTTCTAAG